CCTCACTGCCTCACTCATCCCTAGCCATGGGATGGATGGGGTCCTTCTGTCCCATGCTTCCCCAGGCACGGCACAGTGCAGCTCCATCTGCCAGCAAAGGGAAGGAGCTTGTTATTTCCATTATTACTGTTTCTGTTATTTTCCTGTGCTACTCTCACTGCAGACCTGGGTTACCAGTTTGTGGGAAAGCTGATTAAAGCAGGACCCTGTTTGGCCGATGAGCCCAGAGAAGCTGCTGCCTGTGAGCCAGAGACAAGGCAGCTCCAGTCTGGTACAGGTGGAGTGTGTCACCCCTCATCCTGCTCAGCACTCACAGAGCTCCACACCAGACACATCAGGCTGGCATCTCTTCTCCAGGAGAACAAATCCTCCCCAATTGCTCAACTGCTCTTCCCAGCCTTGCATTTCCCAGCAGAGGTCAAAGCAGAACACAGACTGCCAGAAATGTAAAAAATTAATTGAGGGATGGAAGATGACTTTTTGTATAGCATGAAAGAAAACTGTGTTTGTTTACAACTGAACTACAAACTGGAGGCCAGAAACTCAATTAACGGTCAGTACTCAACAGAAGGAATGCTGTAGCAAAGAAGATAAACATTATTGGGAGGATAAATTGAGTCACAAAAGGATGATATTTTATTTCAGGATTTAAGATTCATACTTCAGACAAGCCAAGGCAGATAGCAAGCCTGAGCATCCCAGGGGGAGCACATCCCTGTCCCTCAGACACCCCAGAGCCTTCAGCAGGGCAAAACTGAGGTTGACTCCCAGCACAAAGTTATCTTAAACTAAGCATTTACACAAGCACTTGTACCTTAAACTGGAACTCATTATAACAATTGGCATCTGAACAGTTTAAACTGTACAATGTACCCGCAAACTGCACAAACACTCATCTCTCTGCACCAGGGAACACTACACCACCAGACACCCAGTGTCCAATTTAAGGAGCTTTCATGCTTTCTCATTTCAGCAAACACCTGTTTGCTACATACCAGCACAGCTCCAGGATCTCAGGTGCTTTCTCCATAGTTTACATTTATCCCATTTCAGGTTTCAGTAGCCTTTTCTTGCCAGCGAGGTCAGAGAGTAACATTGCAAATCTAAGGACAGCACATGCACCCACATGCAGCAGTCAACTGTGACCCTCACTTTTTACATGACCTAAAAACACTTCAAGAATTGCCAGATACAAGAAGCCAGCAAAGGAACTGAGTGTGTAAATTTCCAGCGTATTGCCTGGCTTCCTTCACCTCTTCAAACCTACCCGATGCTCGCCCTTTGTTGAGCTACTACAGACAACCCAGGAATGAAAAGCCACCAGCAAGGACACACAAAGCAGAGCCAGCTTCACCCCAGTCCCAAACCACCCCAGGTCGGCTCTCAAACCGCCCCAGGCACCAGCTCTGAGCTGGGGGCAGGAGACCCAAAGCAGCAGCCCCACAGCACTGACCTTACTTGCTCTCATAAGGACAACACTGCTGCATCTCTGGCCAAACGCACTGCAGAAAGAACTTGGTACTACCCCCAAGCTCTCAAACCTCCACCTGCACCCAGAACTTAGCTGGGACTGCAGCACATTCTCAGCTCTCAGCAGTTCCTCACCTAACAGGTGGGTAAAAAAATCACTTTAATTAAAACAACCTGTGAGCTGCAGCCAGGCCTGACCAAAGCAGCAGGAGCTTCCCAGGAAGGGCACATGCTCTGCCCACAACCTTCTACAGCTGCTGAGCACATGGCACAAACTCATAGAATTGTGGAATCACTAAGGTTGGAAAAGGCCTCCAAGATCATTAAGTCCAACCTTTGACCAAACATCACCATGTCAACTAAACCCTAGCAGCAAGTGCCACGACCAGTCTTTTCTTAAACTCTTTCAGGGATGGTGACTCCACTTCCCTGGGCAGCCTGCTCCAATGTCCTGGAGCACCACCATCCTCCAGGCTGGGCTCCCCCAGCACACCCACAGCCAGTCACTGCAGCAGCCCGAGGCACCAGTGTTAGGAAACAGCATCTGTTTATAAAAAGGGTGTTGAGGGAATCAGACTGTAATGGGTTAATTTGGCAACTTTAGTAGCAGCTCTCTCTCAGGCACAGCCAGCTCCTCTGCTGCACTGCTCAGGAAAAGCCAGCAGTGGTGGAGAATCCTTGCCCTGGGGCTTTTACAGGTGCTGCCACCGCGAGTGCTCCCAGATAACCATCTTCATGTCCTGACTCAGTGCCCCGTGCAGCTGGATTTGTCAGCCCTCTCCATCATTTCACCTCATCAATCTGTAACGTTAAAGCCTGTAGTTTATTTATTTCTTTACTTCACTGATAAAGCACATTATCTACAATGATTAATTTTTCAATAAAGAAACAACACTACTACAAATGGTGGTCTAAGACAACCTAGTGGGACTCTCTACAAAGCTCATGTCCTAAATCCATCACTCTGTTAGGTGTGAAACATCATTCATCAGAATGCTTGGCTTCTTTGTGGAATTCTTCTACAACCAAGTCCAGGGCTCTGTCCCCATGTGGGGAATAAACAGCACTCCCGAGCTAAGGAATAATTTATTTAACAGCTTTGAGTAGGCTTGGTTCAAACCTCAAAAATGAGGATTTGTTGTTTCACTTAACTGCGATACAAAAGGAGTATCTCAGATCTCAGATATTCATTCTCTTAGAGTATTGGTGATGGATGAGAATACTGAATGGAAGCAGGAAGGATAATGAATGTGGAGCAATATGGGTCTATGGAAAAGAGAACTTGTCCAATGAACAGAATAATGAATTTCAGCTTGGTCGATAAATGTAATCATTTGAATGAGATATTCTTTGTCTTTCATAAACTATTTGAAATCATACAAACATGACATTTTAATTAGGGCAAAAAACCCCTAGGATGATACAAAGTCAAGTTGTCATAGCTCAAACAGACAAAAAATATGGGTCTATGGAAAAGAGAACTTGTCCAATGAACAGAATAATGAATTTCAGCTTGGTCGATAAATGTAATCATTTGAATGAGATATTCTTTGTCTTTCATAAACTATTTGAAATCATACAAACATGACATTTTAATTAGGGCAAAAAACCCCTAGGATGATACAAAGTCAAGTTGTCATAGCTCAAACAGACAAAAACAGACTGATACAAAGTCAAGTTGTCATAGCTCAAACATACAAAAATCCAGACTGATGGGTCCCACAGTGACGGCAAAGAGGGAAAGACAGAGACGATGTGTTCCCTGTGGTGCTCCATAGGGACAAGTCCTCTGCCTTCTGCACTCTGGCACTTCAGCAGCAGCCTGAGGGAACTATAAGAACATCACTGGTAAAGTGAGGGAGTGACACAAGCTGGATGGGCTGGCTGAGAGCTCCCCCCAGCCAGAGCCCTGGGCAGGCCAGCAAACAACCTTCGCCCGGGGCTAAAACGGAACCGCAGGTCTGGGCACCAGCAGCACTCGCCACTTGTGCACGGGAACTGCCATGCCAGGGAGAGTGTAGGAGAGCTCAGCTGGACACTGCTGTGGCTGGGGGCCCATGCAAGGCCAAAGGCACCGGTGGAGGCAGCCAGCCCCCCCATCCCATGGCCAGGCTATGCCAACACGCTGGGCATGGCACGGGGGCTCACAGGCTGCCCCGCAGCAGCACAGCACAGGGCACGAGGGGCTCAGCTGGCACGGCAGAGGCCGGGGAAGGCACCTGGTGAGACATTACAAAAGATGCTGGTGAGGGAGGACTCCAGCCCTTCAAGGCACCACAAGGACCAGGGGTTAAGGCTTAAACTAAGCAGATTTAGACTATAACAGGACTTCTTTTACAGTGAGGGCAATTAGCTATTAGGAAGTTTTATCAGAGGTTGTAATAGGTTCTCCACTACTCATTTATTAACTTCAATTGTGAGGATGGGATGTCTAATTGGCCAGCTCTGGTTCATACAGGAATCCAGGGCAATCCTGTAGCCAGGAAGACAGGAGTGACAGGGTCACAAGGGTCCTTTCTGCAAGCGTGTAACCTCTTGACATCACCTCACACCCCTCTGCTTGCCCTCTTTACCTGACAGCTGCTATTTCAATGGTTGGACATTTCTGTACATTAACAGGTCTTTAGATATTGTGGACATAAATCACGTGCAGCCTCAGCGACTGTTTGGTGCACAGGCGTTGCATGCCCAGGCAAATGCTCGCAGCGGGGATGTGGGGAGGCTAGGGTCAGTGAGGAGCTCTGGGGAGCAAGAGGGAGGAGGGCTTGGCTCCAGCATCCCCGCTGCAGAGTAGCGAGACTGGGCCGCGTGCCTGGCTGCACAGGTCCAGGCAGCAGCACTTCCGCCGCATCACTTGAAGACGGATGGAAACGTTGGGCAGTCAGGAGATTTCATCTTCTTCATGAACTTCTTGAACTCTCTGTTCTTCTTGTCCCATTTGTAGATGGCTGTCAGCAGGTACTGGGTCTTCACCTGGCGACCCATGATGAGGAAATAGTGCCCGAGGTTGTCCAGCTGATGGCAGGGACAGTCTGCCCCATTCTTCAGGAACAGCACCAGCTTCTTCAGGTTCTTCTTCCGGATAGGCCCCAGCTTCAATGCCTTCCTCTTCCGTGGGATGATCATCTTGTCCCCATTCTCCTTCTTTACTTCCTTGATGGTCATCTTAAGAGCTGCAAAACAAGTCAGAGAGAGGGGAAAACCAAAACAACTCCTAAGCGGGCTTCGCTAGCACAAAGCCTTTGCTACGTGAGGCTGGGGGGGAGGGGGGGACCAGTGCCATGGCCCCAGGATGGCAGCAGCACCCTGCCCCACTGCAGACACCCAGTGATACACTTCACTCCTGCATCCCCCTTCTCCACAGCACCACCCCAGCCATGACTTGGCCCCTTGCACCTGACGCAGAGCTGTCCCCACACCTGGGAGAGCACCAAGGTAAAACACTGACATCTCTGCTCCCCTGTCCCCAGCAAAGCATCCAGCACTTTCCATTTGAGAGGGGACTTGTTCAGCTGCCAAGGAGCTCTTTGTGAGCAAAACTGTTAGCTGAGTAAACAAGGTGATTTACCTGTTCAAGATACATGGAAAAACTCTTGAAAGGATCATTTTAAAGGTCAATTTGGCTTCTCAAAGCATTTGTTTGCAGTCATACCATCCCTCAGGTGCCTGTGGAGCAAGTTTCCAAGCAGTGGATGTCTCTGCATCAGAGCCGTGGAGACCTCAGCACACAGCCACATGCCTGCACCTTCCCCAGGAGAAGGGTAGTTGGTCTAACAGAACTTCCACGGAAAATACTCTCTTCTTTGGGTTCAACATTTTCCCAAGTTAATCACAACCCCCCAAAAATAAATTAGTGTTCCTTTACCACAACCATGAAGAGGAATTTCACATACATGGGGAAAACGATGAAAATGTGTGGTACATTAAAATATAATTTCTGTGCCATTTGGCTCTGCCTCATTTTTGGGGAAAAGCACATATGGCCAAAAATTACTAACATATTTTGGGAGTTTACTTCAGAGTTGCAGAAAACTAGTGCTCAGAGAGGTGATTAATTGGCTGCTATCCCTTCTCATTTCAGTCTGATGGTGGGTGCAGGCAGCCCACAGGAGCCTCTGGCTCTGGCAGGGAGACAGGTCCCGGCAGCATCGTTCCTTGAAGTCCTGCTCTGCTGGAATGTGCAGAGCAAACATGTGTTGCTTCCTGGACAGCAGTGCTGCTCACTGTTCCAGGCATGGATGGCAGCAGGACAGCACAATGACAATCCTGAGCAGGCAGCAGAGACTTGGTATCACCCTCGTGCTCCCAGCCACTGCTCTGGCAACAGGAGCAATGGTGTTTGTCTGCCTCTGTGCCAAAAATGCCTGCTGGGTCTGCCAAGAGCCCTGTTGTGCTGCACTGTTACTGTATAAGAAAGTAATCTAGGACTGGAAACCTAAGTGAAATTTTCTTTCCATCTGTTTTCCACATTCAGGATGTTTAAGGAGCTAAAGAGACTCCAGCTTTAAGGAGCTAAAGATGCCGAACCAGATCAGTTTGCAACGAATCTGGAAAATGAAGCAAGTAGTTTTCAGGCAGTTCTAAGCAACATGACATTAACTGGGCAGCAGCAGCAAACCCCTGCACCGTGAGCCTCAATTTCTTTATCCATGCTGACTTGGAGCCCTCGTGCTAAGTACAAGGGTGGCCAGTGCAGGAAGGATGGTAAAATACCTTTAAAATAGCACAAAAAGAGACTTTTGCAAAATGGCTTGTTTGCAAACTGCTTTGCTGTGATCGCTGCAAAGTTCGATCCCTGTTTCTAGGGAGAAAAGGATCCAGCAGCCAGTGGAGGTGCTGTCCTGCTCCAAGTATCGCAGCCCATGGAAAACAAAGAACGCCTGGTAACCCTGTGTCGTGGGAGCTCACAGCTGCTCCCTTCCCTGCGCACAGCAGTGCATGAGCCAGTGATGCAGGTTCATGGGAGCTGCCCAGGGAAACCATAAATCCAGATGTGAACTGAACCGTCATCCAATCCTCACTCGTGCAGAGCGGTGCACAGAGCCAAGATGGGATAACGCCAAGGGGGACAAAGGAGGAGGCTGACCAGGGGTGCAAGTAGTTTGTGTCACACTCTGCTCTTCCCAGCAGTGATGTCCTTGTCACCAGCCTGTAGTAAACACAGCCTGGCCCAGGGACCACCAAGCTTTGATTGCCTTTAGTGCTGCAGACTGAGCAGTCACACAAGCATGGTGATCTCTGCTCAGCCCTCGCTCCTCTACAGTGGCCTGGCCCCCCAGTCTTCTCTTGCTCCCCTACCTGGCCCACATTCCCTAAGCTCCAATCCGCACTCCAGGTGAGACTCCCAGGCATTAAAGCCGCATTCCATGGCAGTGGGGCCGGACACAGCTCCAGCACGTCCCACACACACCAAACAAGCGGCGCCCGAGGGCATGTTCGTTCCTGATGCACATCCTGCTCCGAGAGCTCCCCACCACGCAGCAGGAGGCAGCCCCTGGCTCGCAGCTTCCCTGAAACACGGGATTTGGCAGGGGGGACCATGGTGCGACTTGCTGCTGCAGCACTCGCCTGGCATCTCCCCAGCCCTGGGAACGCCCCTGTAGCAGGCAAAAGGCTTGAGCAGGATGGATCAAGTCTTGGCTCCAGGACCCAGCTGAGCTGCCAAAGCAAACAGCTTCCTCACTGGGACCCTTGGCCTTTCTGCTCCCTCCATGCCCCACCAAATCTGTCAGTGCGGAGCAGGAGAAGGGCCAGAATCACCTCTGAGACCCCAGGATGTGCTTGCTTGGACAGATTAAATCTTGAGCTGTGGCTGACAGGAGGGAGCTGACCCCAGGAAGAGACCTGGAGGGTTATCTATAGTGCAAGCATGTGCTGCCTTTCCAGTCCAGCAGCTGCACCATGCCCATGGGCAGCCTTGGCATGGGCTGTGGCACAAGCAGCAGCCCTGGCCCCTACTGCCCCACATGCTGCAGTGGCCCTGAGGGCTGCAGGGTCAATGTGCCACCCACAAGCTCATCTTCCCACTTGCTCTCACAGAACACACGCACATTGCAGCACAACCTTCTCCAGGAATGGCCACCAGCTCAGCACAGGAGCCCCTGTGCCCTGCTCATCACCCACCACCGTGCACCCTCCAGGACTGTGCCCCACAGGCACCTCTTTTCATGCCAGCACGCAGGAGCCTGGGACCAGGACACCATCTCTGCTGTTCTCCTGCCTGCACGGGCAGGGGCCCCACTCCAGCACCTCGGGGGCAGGGAAGGGAACGTGAGAGAAGGGAAAGCTCTGCTGTTCCTTCAGCCTCATTTCTCCTTCCTTTAGAAATCGCTGAGAAGGAGGAAACCTGCCAGAAGACACATTAGGGCTGTAACAGGAGAAGGCTGCAGGCAAGGAGCTGTCAGTCACTGGGAAAAAATAAACAGCATGTATTGATTGTTCTGCAGTCCCCAGTGCCACAGAGCCCGTTCACCAGGATCACCGCAGACCTCAGAGAAAGGGCAGAAACAATAAATAAAATTACTAAGAGAAACAGCACAGAATGAACTCTAGGGCCAGCCCAGCCTGCACGAGGAGTAAGAAACAAGTGCTGGCTGCAGCCCAGGGCAGCCAGGCGAGGTGGCTGTGGGGGCACAGGAGGCTGATCTCACGCTTCCTCCTACATCGCTGCCCCAGCACACCAGCACTGCGCCAAAACCTACACTGCAGTTACTCCCACATACCTGTCCCAGTCCCCCGTGCTGCTCTGCACCCAGGCCAGGGTCCCTTGCTGACACCCACTCCAGAGCTGTCCTGCTTTTGGCGGAGCTGTCTCAAACCAGCACATTAGAGCCCATGTTCACCCCTGCTCAAACAAATGCGAACCCAGAGCTCTGCTGGCTCACGAGGCTGGCAGTCTCCTGGCACCCCTCTGAGCCCCAGCAGACTGTCCAAGGCCCACTCTGGCCTTTTCTTTACAGCTTTCCTGTGTTCACAACTGGCTGCAGTTCACTTCCTATGCTGTCCTCAAGATCAACATCACTCCCAGGGCTGCTACACAGCCACTTCCTACACTGGCACAACCACACATCCACGGTGGGCAAAGCACTCCTTTACCTCTTGTCTGTAACAAACTGCTGGGATGGAAGAGAAATCTGCAGCAACAATACAGCAGGACTTGGTGCAAGACTCACCAATAGCTGCCCTGTGCAGCACATGCTAGTTTAAACATTTATTGTACATGTCTGGCTTTGATGAGGATCTGTAACCTGTCAGCTGCCGGTGTTTACCTTGGTGAATGTGCATGAGAAACCTCAGTCTGAAGGGTAAGGAGTTTATTTTAGTGCCAGATAAACAGCTCTCAATGAGAAATCACCCCATGACAGTAACCCCCCAAGACTAAACAAAGATCCAGGGCCATGCACTGTGCTTTGGGAAAACTTCCTGAAGCTGATGCCTCCTCCACTGCTCCCCCAGCTGAGACATCCCCCAGAGCCCCTGTGTTATCTTCCCTCGTAGGGTACAGGTAGGTCCTGCATCGCATCCCAGCCCTTGCTCCTGCTCCCCAGCTGGCTTCAGACTGGCCACATCTACCAAAAATATTTCCATCCTCTGAACACTCACCACAACATTTCCCAATAACAACTTACGCTGTGGGCAAGTCACTGTCTTAAGCCGCTCTGCCAAGGCAGTGAATTCTTCTGGTTTGGCCTCTGCTCACCATTGTGTAACCATGCCAGAGCTCAGGAGGATATTTAGTGGTGGAGGCTGATGACAAGCATGGGGTTAAACTTGTGTTTCCCCTCCCAACACTTGCCCACCAGTAGGGCACCACCTGAGCTCACTCCTTGCACACCTCTGGCAAGGTGACAGGTATTGCGGTGACCCACCAGCAATGGAGCCACTGCTGCCACTGGCCAGTGCCCCTGGCTCCTCCTCTGCGATGGAGGTCCCCAGCCAGAGCCCCTGGGCCTGGGCAATGCTTCTGCATCACCACAAGCCCAGGCAAGCAGCCCCTGCCCAAACCAGGTGTGCTGGTCTCAGACGCGGTTTGCTCCCTCCCCACCAGCTGGGAAGCTCTCCCCAGTCTCTCCCCATGTATAGAGTGAGGCAAGGGCAGCTCTGGTTCAGCTCCCATCGCATGCCTGCCCAGTACAGAGCTCTGAGCACACAGCTCACCCAGCTCCAACCAGCCAGCACCTCCCGCTCCCAGCCAGGCCACGCACAGAACGTCTGATTCCACTCCTCAACCGAGCCAGAAGTATGCACATTCCTGGGAAACTATGACATGGGTGTTCCTGTTGATGCTTTTCCCTGTTAGAAAAAGTCTGTGTTGAACTTAGGGCTTCTGGCATACCAAATCTGCAGGAGAGTTGAGAATTCATTTCCAGCAGAAAGGGGAACATGCCAGCATGCAGAGCAGGTTTGGGTTTGCATAGCACGCTCTGGCACAGGGCACATTCAAGTGCTAATCCCCCAGGAATGCACACCTTGTTCAATATGCCTTTAATAACCTTCCGGGAAAGTTACATACACCAGCAAGGATGTCAAAACCAGTTAATTCTGGGTTTGATCTGAGAAAGTTAATATTTTTCCCTGTGATAATTTTTGTTAAAAATAAAGTTCAGTTTACCTCTGATTGTCTGACTCGCTCACTCCTAATACACTCAGGACACAGCTTTCAAGTAGCTTTGCATTTTTAAGCTCACTGCTTGGACCTAGATAGACAAGGACTGGCTTTGGGTTTTTACACCTAGACTTCATAAGAGCAGCATAACTTTGCTAAAAAGAAACAGAGCAGAACAAGCAATCTGAGGAAGAAGGAGGCTGGTTTGCTCCTTCATGCTTGCAAGCAGAATAAGGGTCCATGCTACATGCCATTCCTGCAAGAGCTTGGGAACACCAGGGTTAAGTTATGAACCCCCCAAGTTCACCAAAGAACTGGCACTGCCACTTCTGCCTCAGCACAACATGCCTGGCTCTGGATCTCTGCTTGCTTCGGCAGGTGACCCCACACTCAGGGGCCTTGTCCTGTACCACATTTCCCCAGAGGGGGCAGGAGAGACGCCCAGCAGCACGGCCAGGGCCATGCAGGGGCACGGGCACTGCCGTCAGGACCTGCCATCCCTGTGCCCAGGTGTGCTCGGCTGCGGGAGCTGGACACATCCCGGACACATGCCGTCCAGTCCCATCCCGTCCCAGCGCCTGCCTCCGTGCACCCACACTGACACCTAGAGGCACACACGCCTGGCCTCGGGGAGCACACCGGCACTGTGGCACAGCAGGCCAGGAAACCACACAGGAGCCATGCAGCCCTGTGCCCCCAGTGCTCCTTACCAAACTCGCTGGCACACAGGTGCTCCACAATGGCCTCCGACTTCATCTCGTTGTCACAAGGGGGACACACAGACGTTCCTGGCAAGAGAAGAGAAATGAAGAGAGAGGTGGTAAGGTGCCAGCGCAAGAAGCATCACAGAGCCAGGCTGCCCACACTGTCAGACCACCACCTCAAGGCGGGCACATGCCCATGCACCCTACCATGGGCTCCCAGTCCTGTGGGACAACACCCTGCTGGGGGCCAGGGGCCATCCACCAGCACACAGGGCAGCACTGGCCATGGGCAGCCTCTTGCCAATCCCAGTGCAGCACTGCCACTGGCCCCAAGGCCAGGCATAGCCAGGGGAGGGCAGCTGCCAAGAGCAAGAGGACAGTGCCAGCAACGAGAGGAGTTTTCAGGGCCAGGCACTCAGCTGAGGGGAGCTGCTTGCCACGGGGCGCATGGCCCACATCCTGCTGATGTTCCCTCCACGTGGCATGCCAAGATGGGCACGCAGTGCCCAAACCCCAGCACAGCAGGAAGACCATGCCCAGACATGCCAAGGGGCCACCCTGGTGCCAGGCAGAGTTCAGGACTGGGACAGCCCAGTTCAGCACAGCATTCCTCTCAGTGCTGGGGACCACGTCGCAGAGCATCACTTGGCAAGCCCCTTGCCATCCTCCTTCCTAGCCATTCCCAGAGTGGCAGTGCTTGGGGATGGACTCGCACAGCTCTTGCATGCACCACAGCCCTCCAGCACAACCCCATGAGTGGTCATCTTCTCTTTTCTATTTTGAGCCCAGGGCAACCTCATGGCTCCAGTGGAGCAGACCTGGTTCTGCTCAGTAGCTGTTGGCAGTGGCAGACATCTGTCTTCTGGGAAACAGCAGCCCAGGAGATTTCACTGGGATTCGTCCTGGGAGGAAAGCTCACTTCACCCAGAGAATATGTTTCCAGGTTCCTGTCTGCAGCCGGAGCAGAGACCACCCAGCAGCACAGACGCAGATTTACGCTACTGGCAGATGAATTTGAGCCAGGAGATGCTGCTTGTTCCTGGTCCAGCAGGATGGAGGGCTCTTCCCACACAAGGGAGTTATTCTCGTGGACAACACTGCAGCGAAACATCTGCCCGTCCCTGCATGCAGACGGAGTGCTCACGGCCTTCCAGCCCTCAGCCAGGCTGGCAGACCCACAGCATTGCTGAACTGAAAAAGCAGAGAGATGTCCTGCAAAGAGGGGTGCAGAGCCAGCACGGCTGGCGAGGGGGGCACAGCCACAATCCACATCGACCACAGAGTCGTGCCTCCTCAGCCACAGATACCCCACGGGGGTTCAGGCGAGACGCTTGTTTTCTGTGGCTTGTTCTTCCCCTCTCGCCACCCCCAAATCTGTTCTGTACCAAATGCTAATTCCTGGGGACATACACCATGTCTTCATTAATCATACACGCAGAGCAACTTGCCTTCCACTCACCCCAGCATGCAAGTCATAAGCATCAACCAACAGCCAACTCCACAGTCCCACTCTCGGTACCTCCATACCTGTGCCCATGACCTGGATAACCTCCTCTTCCAAAACCCTAACATGCAATTGCCACTGTTACCACCTTAACTCGGAGTGACACAAGCAGAAGCCAGCCCGTGTCCCCAGCATCATGTCTCTAGCACTCTATTTTTAAAATCGCAGTCAGAATATTTCCTTCCAGGCTGCACATTTAATGAGCTCATGACAAAGGAGAGGAGATGCTCACAGGAGCAACAGCTCTAGCACTCCATCTGCTGCAGAGACAGGAGTCGGTCACTGTTCCTGGGGACCACCCTCAGGAACAAGGTGGGGAGTACCTGCCATGCAAAGCAGTTTGATGTGCCTCAGCAGCTGAAGTGCATCCGAGGAGGCTGCCCAAGCCTACGCCAAAAAAAAACCCCAACACCCCAAAATGGAAAATAAGACTCATTGTTCCCTAGTGCAAACACAGGCTTTGTCCTAAGTGTGCTCCAGCAGCCTCTAGGCAGGCTCTGGCACACCCAGGGCAGCACAGACCCCTGCCTCAAGGCACCAGGGCCCAGAGCCAGCAGCCAGTGCCACAGGCTGGAGCTGGGAGGCTCTGGATATCCCCTTCCATGAGTAGCAGCCTCACCCGCACACGATCTGCCTGCCCTAACTCAATCAGGTTGCTCACAGCCCCACCCAACCTGACCTTGAACGCTGCCAGGGAGGGGGCAGCCACCATGTCCCTGGATAACCTGTGCCAGTGTTTTATGACCCTCACTGCAAAAAACTTCTTCCTTATATCCATCCAATCTAAACCAATCCATCCTCCAAACCTGCCTCCCAGAGCCCTGTTGCAGCACAGATGTGCCAGGTGGTCTCCAGGGAACACTGTCCCATGCTGATGGGAAGGCAAATTGTCCTCTGCTCTGGGACACCCCATCATGCCACAGTCAGGAACATGAACGCTGGGGGCCAGCCAGCTCCTGCACAGTTCTGTGCCCCAGAAAAACCTGTTCTGTGGAGTCACAGCTATCCCAAAACCGCCTGCCCTCCCACCCCTCTGAGGCACCATGGCCAACACCTCCAGTCCACCCTCCTGGGCTGCCACAGGTCGGCTGGGGCCTGGCTGCTGCAGCTGATGGCTCGACTCCAAGCACAACCCCAGCCTGCTTTCAGTTCGCTTGTTCCCTGCTGACCATTTTCCAATGCCTAGCTGTAGAGCCAGCTTACTCCAGGGGCAGAAGGAATGTGTAATGCTGTATTAATCTGCAACTCCCCTGATGCATCCCGTGGGCCTGCAGGCTTTACCGCCTGTGCTTAAGGAGAAAGGAATTCAGCAGGTCAGCGCTTTGAGAGGCAGAAACAAATTCCAATTTCGAGGTGTTAATGGGGAAAAATATTGAAAGGGCTCGTTCTTATTAGTGCTGAGAGAAAAGGGG